ATGTGGCTAGTCGTGCCCTTCTCAGTGCAGATTGGATGGGGAGGAACATGTCCTGGACAGAACCTTACATTGGACAAACATCTCAGACACTTCACCGAGTTCAGCCACTGGGAGGCGCTCAAGCCCCAAAGAGATAGACTGGTGCTGCACCAGCCAAGGCTCCTAAAGGCTTAGAAGAGAGTAAATACACATGCCCTGACCTCTCCTCTCAAGGCAGCTAGAGCAGACCTGTCCACTTGCCGCTCCAGTTTGAACGAGTTGATTCTGCCCACAGGACAGCAGAAAGAGAAGTCAATGTGGGCTGTTCCCCCATCCCCAGGATTTTCCCATCCCAGGGACCGAACTGCACTAAGCAAGGTGGAGTTTAATCAATGCTTGAATGGGAGACTTTCAGAGAAAGACCCATGTGCTGGACATTGTTTGCCGCGTAACAGGTTAAATGTCTCTCGTCCAGAACTCTCTGGTCCAGCAACACCCATGGCCCAGCATGATTTTAGTTAGCCGGGCGTCCACCTTTCATGAGGGTGGCCAAGTTTCTTATAGTTCCATAAAGTTTGTTTATAGTCACCAGTCCTGGCTCTCAGTGTTCTGTGCAGTTATTTAGCTCCACGAAAGCTCATGATACCATCTACATGTTTTATTAGTCTATGAAGTGCTACCGGACCATTTATTGTTTTTTCAGTTTACCCCTAAATGTCTTCTTAGCCCCCAGCAAGCAGTGGAAGTGTTGGTAATACAGTTTACCCCTAAATGTCTTCTTAGCACCCAGCAAGCAGTGGAAGTGTTGGTAATACTGCTAGACAATATTGGCTTCCCATGGTCTGGCAAATTCTCTGGTTCAGGTCCCAAGACCGCCAGACTAGAGAGGTTCAACCTATACAGTCCTGCCTTGGAACCCCATTGCACAAATCGCAAAGAGAATTCCCAAAGTCGAACATTGCAACAGGTGAATAAACACAGCAGAAAGAAGGTGGCAGTAGCTGATTAGAGTAGCTACATGGGGTATGTGTATCTGTTACACTGCTCCATGATGGAGATCTGTTGGGACATGAAACCGATGGCATGGCTCAGCATGCTGAGTTTCTTCATGGGCCCATTAAAATCCAATTAACTCATAAATGAATGAGCGGATTTACGTGCCACTTCTCAGCGGCTTAGTGCTGCGCTCAGAGAGGGAGGAGTGGAGTCACGCTGCCGTCTCCATACATGGAACCCCGCTGGGGCTTTGATGCCAGGTACTTTCCAAAGCTCTCCTTGCTGGCCCGCTTATTGCAGCCTGGCACGGGCACTGCCCGAGCAAGGGGCCAACACAGTCTGACTCAGTGGCTTGGCACTGATTTGCTGCACAGCTGGATACCAGTCCAGCTCCAAACAGCCCAGGGTGCGCTGATGCCACTTACCATGGGAGACACACACACAGCTCATTCCCTGGCATGCATGCCCTGCAACTAGCTCAGGCTTCCTGGAGTAGCAGAAGCCACCGTGCCTGGTGCCTGTTCTGGCGCTGGGTGTGTTTCATCCACTCCTAGATAGTGAAAGGTCTCCTGGGGATTGTGAGGAGGGTGTATGCTTGAATCCTTCAAAGGAAAGGCTTCTTGAGACCAATGAATGAGGGTCCCCCACCATGAGCCCCTGAGAACCCTGCCCCCCACCTACTTGGGAATGCCCAGAAGGACCCCTGTGTGCAGTGCATGGACAGGACACCCCCCAAAAGCAAACAGATGCCCCCATAAAAACAGCATTGTGCATGGAAGGTGACTTAGCAGACAACCATCACTGTGACCAGGAAGTGTGACCCCAGCCTCTCCCTACCTCTGCTCTCCATAACCCTGTTGCTGACATGGGGCTTTTACCCTGTGCAACATCTTTCTAATGCCCTCTCCAGCTGGGCCTTCACGTGTGCCTTCCATTGCTGTTATTTGCGCAGCAGCAGGACTGACAGGGTCCAGCCGAGATCCAAGCCCATAGACGCAAAGCAAGAGCTCTAAAGCGCGCCCAGTCAGCAGCCACAAGACAGGTAATGGGTGGGAGGGACTTGCCGAAGGTCACGCAGCAGGGCTGGGAATAGAACTCCCAGTGCAATTCCCTAGCCCCAAGAGCAGCGATGGGCAAACTAGGTTAGTGAGTGGGCTGCAGGAGTGGCCCTCCTTTGTCTCAATGGGCTGCAAAATTGGCATAACCAAGGCAGTCCTCTGGTATAGGGCAGTTTTGCTCACTGCACCTGCCACCTAGAATCTGAAGCGGAACCGTAGCAGTGCTGTGATTGGCTGCAGAAGGCGCGCACGGCCCTCACAGTCAGTGTTGAGTGCAATCAGCCCGCACCTCCCTGCGCCTGCCCTTGCTTTAGGAGTGTGTCACTTTGGTAACACCAGTAGGAAAAAACGGATGTGGAGAAAACCAGTGGAATTGGGCAGCCCTGCACTTGGGTGAAGGTAAATCAAACGATTCACGGGCCACACATAGAATCCTGATAGGCCGCAGGTTGCTCCCCCCACTGCCTTAGACCATGCTGCCCCCACCAGAGGCAATGAAGAAGTGCTTGCTGCTCTCATGGTCCCAGGGCATTAAAGATCTTCTGCAGAGAGCATTAATGGGGTACTCAGTACCCCTCCATTCCCCAATATCCCCACCCCACAACTCCTCCCCACTTCCCTCACCCAACTCCCTCCCTCCCCATCCTAACCCCCCAAACCCTGATGGCTTCTCCTCTCTCCCCACCCCATCCCTTCCTCTCATCCCTTCCACACCTCAAAAAACCCATTCCCCTGCCCTTCCCCCTTTTTCCTCTCCCCATTTCCCTCTCTGTCCCACTATTCCCCCTCCAACCCTCTTCCATTCCCCTCAATTTCCCTCCCTCCTCTATTCCCCTTATCTCCCCCCATTCCCCTCCCCCTCT